GCTAGTGCTCTTAAACATCCAAGTTTCTCATCAGTGCAAGAAAGACAGAAAGGTACCTGCCCATACTGTGGCAATACCTGAGTCTTCCTCCCTTAAGTCACAGACTTAGTCATGTTCCCCACAATCAGATCACTCATTGTCACCATCCCCAGTTCAAGATAATACAAAAGAAAATACAAGACAAATAGAAGGAAAGGGGAAAAAAAAAAAGTCAAGGGCCCAAATTAAAGGAGATACATAAAGACACTTACATAGACCCATATTGACAAAACTAAGGCTGTAATGCTGCACACAGAAATATTCACATTAGAGCCGTGCCCATACTAGCAGAAAGCAAGCTCTACTGAAGCAACACCAGCATAAAATCACCATAAACCAGAGTGGATTTTAGAACACTAACACTGGCTGAACAGTACCCCTTGAAAGGCTAATATGCATTTACTGACATCCTTCTCTCCCTTCAGTTAATGGCAGGACAGACCATTTAGTCAGTGGTCTAAAGCCTTAGATTGCATGACAGCAATTTATGCACCCTGGCAGGTGAGAATGACCCATTCAGCCTAAACAACAAGAAGAAAAGCCTCCTGACAGCATTTCTCTGCCCAGTTCTTGTCTGGGACAACTCCAAGTATCATTCAGCCACGGCATGTCTAACCCGACGTGACCGTGTCCCAGACTCCTGGGAGTCAGATCCCCCGACTTCCAACAATCACTTTCTTCCTTTCTCCCCAGCAGGACTTAGGCATAAAGCAGTACATCATCAAAACACTATTTAAGTTCACAGAGGCTGTGCATGCCTTGCTCAGGGGACTGGGTTTTTTTTCCTCTGGTGCTAATTCCATCCATTAGGTTCGTTCTCCATCCATGCCCTGGGCAGGAGCTGCCATGGCAGAAGGATGCCCATGGAAAATGCATCAGGACAAATCAGGCACAAGCGTGCCTCTGGAGGCAGAGAATTTAAATAAAGAACGAAGCTGAAAAAGCTACCAGCTTCCCTGTAGCCAGCACTACTAAGAAGAATTCACCACAGGGGACTATCCTGCACCAGAGGAGCAATACACCTTCTGGGCCCACAGTCAGGAGGGAGAAAGCAAGCACAAAACTGAGCACTGTGCCACCCCAGGCCCTGGCAGAGGTTGGGGTTAAAAAGAAACACCAGAAAAGGTCTCATCTGCCCCATCACAAGATCATCTATGGTCTGTAGAAACAAGCTGGCAGGGAATGCCCATGCTGCCTCCTCTTCAGAGAAATCCAATTCCATATATGCGGGTGAAAACAAATGGCAAGGTTCTGCCTTCTGTGTCATATACATTGTCCTTTAAAGACACGAAATTTGTACAAGGTGCTGTACATACAGCTGAGTGAGGAGAAAGCCTCCCCTGTTCCAAATGTTTACCATTAAACAGTTTTATACTTCCCTCTTAAAGGCTTACAACTCCACAGACATTTCTTTTAAAAAAAAAAAAAAAGAAACAGTTTTAGGTCCGGACAGAAAATGTTGGAAGGACAGACCTCAACTAATGGCCAGCTTTCTTCCACCTTGCTACCATTCCCTCCCATCTCCTGATCAGCGAGATCTGCAGATGGGGGCAGAGCAGAACTGAACCCAGGGAGGACTCGTGCTTTAGGAGAGATCCAAATTCAGCACACCAACAACCATGTACAGCCCAAGGAACCTGGTGTGGAACTAAGGGTTGCCAAATCCAACTGTGACAGGCACAGAAAAACCTTCACTCTGACTCATACCAAAGGCTATCCAAGTCACTGCCACTGTGCAAAGGCCACAGCAAAGCAAAGAGGAGGAAGGACCTGCAGTACCATATAATGGCACCAGAGCCCACATATTACAGACGGGGCTGTAGAGGGGGAACAGAGCAGGAAAAATCAGTCTATGGGCCCAAATCATCCCTGGCTGCATGGCACTTAGGTTTTTTCTAATTATATAGTTATATACCTAGTTCTATAGTTACCAGGTCACATATCTTTACACACATAAAAACACAGGCATAGTACTCCCTACATTTCAAAAATACTTTTTTTTTTAACCACACAGTGATTAAAATGGGATTTTAAAAGATGTAAAAAAGCCCATGACTTTGTCCCTCCCAATCTCCCTGAGATGTTCCCATGCACCTGATTTTAACAAACACAGGTAATAGCAAGTTTTGTTTTGTTAAACCTGTTAGGTACCAAGGGCAATAAGTGTTACAGCCAACTCTCTTAGGTAAGAATGCACAGCATTAGACAGCGTGTTTCCCCATGAGCTGTGAAACAGAACGTTTTCACACATATATTGACTCACTCCTGCATCTTGACACATTCCATGGATCAGCTCTGGCCTCTCACCCTTGTCTCCTCCAGGATGAGCACATGAGAACTCTGGCTCATTCCAGCCTCAGTCTGAGAACAGCATCCACTGGTCAGTGACTTTCATGACTGCTAAACTTTGGGAAAGAAAATGAGAATCTCCCCTTCTACAGAAGAGGCAGCATTCTCAAATGGTTCAATATTTTATCATCTAACATTTGATCTCATTCTGCAGAGTTAGACCTGCCTGTTTTCCTTTTCTGTGAGTCGTTTCTCCATCTCCCCAAACCAGTTTATTGCCTTTTTCCGGGAGCACTACAGGAAGCACAAATAAATATTTTTTTTTAAAAGCCACAGAAAGCTAAGAGCCATAAGAACAAAACCTCAGTGCAACTCAGAAAGGCAGGCTTTGTTATTTGCAGTGTGTGATGTGGAACAAGTAACACAGATAATCTGAAATTAATTAAAGGGAAAGGCAGGTAGCATTGAACCTGCCACAATGAGGTGCTGTATAAGCAGACTGAGAATGCTACACTACCAGCAGTGCTACCTTCTGATTAAAGGAATGGAGCTTCCAGGCAGGGTAGCAAAAAACCAACATGAACACTTAATTAAGAAATTTAAGGAGTCCTCAGCGCTGATGCTGTAGCTGTGGTTTAGGTGCCTTGAAAAAGAAACTGATTCCGCTTTGGATCAACAAACCATGCTTGCACTGGAGGGAAAACTTTGGAATCTTCAGACCAATCTGAACTGAATTCAGGATAAAAGGTCACAGAGGTGCAGAATTCCTCTAAGTTGAGCTGAGTGATGAAGCAGACCCCAAAATAACATCTGGCCTCAAGCCTAAGGCACCCAGTGTCTACTTTCACAGCTGGCAGGGCTCCAGCTGATTGATGCATCAGCCACAGCCAGCTCTCCACCACACCTGCATTGCTCAGCCAAGTACACCTTGTGCCACTCTTCACCCCTCCAAAGGGGCAGCAGAAGGAGGGATTGTGACAAAGATGACAGCAAACACTGAGAGAGAGAAGAGTCCTGGAAGAGCACACAATTCAGTGATTGCAAACTCCTGTTGCTTAACAAAATGACCAGGCATTTTGCTCATTTCCTGGTCCTTCAGAGAGCAGACAGCTCTCACAGACCAGATAAAGTGCTCAGCATGGTTACTGGGGCAGGGCCTCAAAAACACTCAGCAGAAATCATAATCTGATGGGCTGTCCTGGCCAGATTTTTTCTGCTGTATTCCACATCCCACACTTTTCTGAAAGCCCTTCTGTTAGAGGCTCAGTTACCCATAAAGTCTGACCATAAACAGCTGAACAATCTCTATTGTACCTCTGTGACACCTGATATGGACACTGATATGGATGGGGCTTTGTCCTGGTGTTGCTTCAAGAGTTGCCAAAGTACACCTGAGCAAAGATCCTTTCTTCTGAAATACCAGTTCTCCCAAGTAGCATGGCTATCACACTGGTTTGCAGTCTCACTGTCTCAATGGTAAACCTCTTTTCAGGCCAGGTACCAATGTGTTTTTCAGAGCCCAGTAAGCAGGTCTGCCTCTCCCACCACACACTGAGCACGAGCTGACAGCGCCTCTTCATATGGAGCCTCACCAGTCTTGTGTCTTGCACTGGGGCTTTAGGCCAAACAGAAGCAAAATCCTGTGCCACTGCCATCCCAAGGTTTATGCAAGTTCAGAGTGCTGGTCTGTCTGTCCACAAGTGCCAAGCCCCAGCCTCACACACCCATCTGCACTCCATTCCATGCTCCCACTGTAGTGTCCAGTACTAATGATGTTTTGCTGGTTGGGAATAAAACTAGAAAAACACTGTGGGTGACAGAACAAGGACATTACCCCTCACATACTGGTCCAGCCCTCCACCTGGCAGAAGACTGCCATGAGGAAACCCAACCAGGCCCCACCAAGAGGGCAGAAGGAAAATTCATTTGCCCTGTCTCACCCAGGAGGTACACTTCACCTGCACCTGGTGCTGGGCAAGGATTTTCCCCTTCAGCTCCGAAGTGGAACATAAAGAAGAAGGCCACCTTAATGACCCCAAAAGCTTACAAGACCCTTGAACTTTGCTTGCTTCTACACTATCTCATGTAAGATTACACAAACAGGCATGCAAACCTACATGTGCTATCATCCTAAATTATTCCAAACAATCCACACACTTCAGGGTCAGCTCCCACTCCCCTGAATAAACAGATGTGATTCCTCTCTTGTCTGCATTTCCAATGAAAGCCCAAATTCATGGCTCCCACGGTCTCATCATGCTGATTCCCATCCAGCTCAAAAGAAGCTGCGATTTGAAATGGCTTGATCTGTCAAGCCAAGCAGGTAGAGACTGGAACAGCAGACAACAATGGTCTTAAAACCCTCTCAGACAGAACTCTGCAGTGCTTTAACTTGATCAATCTGTTCATGATTTTAGCTGAGCATGTTCTACTTTTTTACTATTGAGACCCCTATTCTTTCCCCTCTTAACTCCTCACCTATTTTTGCTTCCATGCAATCTCTTACAAAAAAATATACATACAGCATCTAAGCTATGGTAACGAAGTAAAGTAAGTTCTTCGTAATTAAGTAGGCACATCAATACTGATCATAGCCCGGAGTATATCCTTCTCTCTTGCATGCCTCAGTTTTCTCAAAAAAAAAAAAAGGGAAAAAAGGTTACACTACTGACCTTCCTTTTAATGACCTTTGGAATACACAGCTAAAGGAGAAAGCAGAAGACCTTTTCAAGTAGTAATGTCTGCCATTCTGCAAGCACAAAATTGGTAGGATTTGGTAGTAAATGACAGAAAAACTGGAAAAGAGAAATATCTCCATATATACAGCCATCCACCCCACTGCCTTGTGCAGAAAGAATTTACCTTCCAGGTCTCTAACAGAGGCAAATAAAGCCACTGACCAGCCAAATCTGCCTGCACCTCATGGTATTGATCACAGCTGGGAGGGATTTTTCAAACAGGCACCAACTGCAGGGAAAGGCTAACAATTAAAGCTCCCACTCCATCCCCCGCTCTGAAGTCCCAAAGCACTTTGGCAAGAGCATGATAATCATGCTTTACACATTCCCTTCCACCCAACAGCTTTTGCAAATGTCCATCCATTTCAAGCTTCAGCGACAACCCTTCGTGTGAGCTAACTCTTGCTGTTGATAGGGAAGCCAAGACATTTTAGGAACAATGGCAAGACCACGAATCACAAAGACAACCTACATGCACAGCCTGCTCTCCTCTGGCACCTAAGGATGCACATGTGAACTCAACCCATACATTTCTCTCTGCCTTGAAAGTCAGCAGGAGCTCTGTGCTGAGTCTCACTGGGATCCTCACTGGGATCCTCTACCACATCCCCAGCAGAGGCTCAACCCATTTCAGGAGCCTTCCAGCAGCACCACTGAGGATGTACCCGCAGTACCCACATTACAGACTGAAGCAATGTCAAAGCAGTTGTTTCCAGCATCTCAGTTCTTCAGCCCATCACTGACCTAAGTGATTTGCAGTTTCTCAGTTCTAGGCTTTTTTTAAATCCCAAATGTACATTTTAGTCCCAAAGAGATCAGCTAGTGCAGCCATGTTTCCCAGGAAAGGCTTCCATGGCCCACAGTGGAGTGGCTGGTAGGAATTCCAATTCTTTAAGTTCCTCCACACCCACAATAGAGGAAAGGAGGAATACAAAGCCTAAGATTTGTGCAACACCCTTAGCTTGGTCAAAATGTTAAGAGTGCCAAGTGGCAGGGACCTGCTGGGGCAAGTGTATCCTCTGTGGATCAGGCACAGGGAGAGAAGTGATGGAGTCAGTTCTCCTGCCCTCTCCTGCCGCTGTCGATGGAGCAGGAGAGGGAGCAGGTCGGCAGCGAGGTGGGTCTGCCAGCAGTCCCCCTGAGGGCACAGCAAAGGGGCAGGGTAGTGGACGAGAGCGCGCAGCCAGGACCCGCTTGCTGCTCCCCGTGGTCAAACCCCATCCAGCCCTCTGCCACAGCAGCGGCACCGCCGGCAGCTGCGGGGGGATGCTGGGGGGTTTACAGGCACATCGCTCAGGCTGGGTGATCAGAGACCCCGGCACAGGGAATCTCATCTTCAGCAAAAAGGCCGGCAGCGATTAGAGACAGCGCAAAGGGAGACAGCACCAGCTGCAATGGCAAAACGCTTCACCGCGACCGAGCGTCTGGCAGGACTCTTCTCGTCCCTCGCACAGGGAACCCCAGACAGCGGGAGTTTCCCAGAGTCAGTGACTCCGAGCGGGTTTCCATATCAATATTTCAGCAGCCTCTGCCTTCCCAGCACTCAGTCCGGGCTCCAGCAGCATTCCCTCCCTTTCTCAGATGCCCACGCTCCCTCTAGCGCCCGTCTCCGCTTCCCTCAGCCCGGCTCCCGCACTCCCCTCAGCCCGGCTCCCGCACTCCCCTCAGCCCGGATCCCGCACTCCCCTCAGCCCGGATCCCGCACTCCCCTCAGCCCGCGGCCCAGGGAGCCGCGCTGGGGCTAATTAAACCCATGCCGTTCGGGGCACTAATTAATCTGGTGCCATTCGGGGCACGCAGGCCCCGGAGTGCCCTGCAGAGCTGCCTGGCTGGCGATTGTGTCGCATGTTGGAATACGAGGGGGGAAAAAACACCGTGACAGCCTCAGTGTCAACTCGTTTCAGTGGGAGAGCAATCAGGTCTCCTTCAGCACTGAGAGGAAGGAACAAAAGAGAGATTTGATCACTCAGCATCAATCTTTTCTTACTTTTATTGCATGCTGCAACTCCATTGGTTATGAAGGCTGGAAATCGACCCTAAAGCTTCCGTGGCAGATTATTTATCAAATATGTTTATACCAACACAGCCATGTTCTATAAATATGCAGGAAATTTTATTCAGTTCCCTCAGTCTCATAACACCCCATAAAGGCAGGAAAGGAAACACTTCCATGCTTTTTGCATGGAGGAAGTATTAACAATGATGCAGTTCTTTCTGACTATTAGGAGAAGTTAAGATCTGGGAATTTGTTTACCTTGGATTCCTACATGGAATTTAAGCAAACCAGGAAGCTTGTATGCAAAGGTGTGACTGCAGAACAGTATATTCCAGCTAAGGGATATTTCGGCTTAAAATTCCTGTTGGTTTCGACCAACTATGTCACCAGAGCAGTCTCCACGGTGGCTTACAGTGTGGGTCAAACTCCCACAGAGTAACAAACTCAGAGCCAAACAAGAGACAGGGAAAAGCTATGCACAAGAGAGAAAAAAACTCATTTGCCCACAATCCTGTGCCTGTAATTCAGAAAACGTAAAGGGCCTGCAGGTCTCTGCTGTACTGCTCCATGTTTCCTCACCTCTGTATTCATTTCTCAGTCTTATTTTCCACTGCTGTAGGATCCTGCAGGTTGAATTCTCCACTATAGTAAAATAGCCTAGATCAATCCTACATCAATTTAAGCTGACGATCCAAACAAATACTTTGCTGCTTTGGGGAATTTCTGCAATTACAGCATTCAATGCTTCACAAGGAGCATGTCATCTAGTTTACTGTCTTGACTGCAGCTGGTTGCATTCAATACCTTCAAACACAGATTCTCAGTGGAAGATAAACTTGACCAAAGCCCAGCCAAACCCAAGCATTAACTCCGTAACTCACAGGTCCCCTGCAACGTCCTCAAAGCAGCCCCAACCATAAGCTCGGGCCTGGCCCTCAATTCTGGTATCAATCTGGAATTTGTGAGAGTGCTGACTGACATAGTACATAAGAGTACTGCTCTCTGTTCTACCCACAGACATCCAGGGAGCTCAAGGAGCATGATACTACAGTATGACTTGACTAAATTCTTGACTGTTCACAAGACTGGTTTCCAGTATTCTTTAGTGCAAGTAACACTAAAATTCTTTGCCCTTAACCGGTGCTTTTCTCATTAGACAACACTGTTCCCCTATGTTTTCTAAAATCTCTACTACAAACACAGCTGAAAATGTGGAAACTCTCAGAAAGTTTCATCTTCCTACAGCCTTGCCTTCAAGAAAATATTTGTTTCATCTCACCTCCCTTTTGAGAAAAATCTCTCCTGCCTAACATAAATTATCTGTTCAAACCCCTTTTCAAAAGACTTCATCATCTAATTGGATGAATGTTTTCCATTATGAAAAAAATAATTAAAGAACCACATAGCTGTTTCTATTTGCATTTAATCCACTCTGAAAGCTTAGCCACAAGTCCTAGGGCATCATCCCAGATCATGGCAAAGTCTGAGTACTGAGGTCTGAAGAGAAACTGCTGACAGATACCTCAGGCAAAAGCAGTTCTGTTACTGAGCTTGGAACTACAAGAACATCAACAGTTTGCTGTGCCAGGCAGGGAAATGGCCCAGGGAACCTGCCAGCTTCCTGGGATCTACAAACAATACCCAGGTCCAAACATCAAACTGACTTTGCAATGAAACCAGTCTGGAAACACCACAAAAATATTTTCCAGATGCCTTCTCCCTGGTCTACTAACTCAACACAATCACAAAAGTAGTTGCCATGCCGGTTTCATTTTTATTTCCAGTCCTCTATTTAAACATTAATTAAAAATGGATTGGCAAAGTCCTGGAGAAGGACTTTAGTTGCAAGCTTCATTAATGAAGGTAGAGGAAAAGCAGAAACGCATAAAGACATTTTGCCAGAGTTGGCCTACCTTCAATGGCAATGAGACCATAGCCTACTCAAAAACTATTTGAGAATGAAACAGTCTAGAATAGAAATTAAAATATCTACCAAAGGCAATGCAATTAATGTGGTTGCTCTGTCACCATTTTTGCATTCGAGGAGTAAATATTTTAGACTGAAATCCAGCTGGACTTTTGGAGCAGTTATCCGTGGCTGACAACTAAATACAGCTTTGCCTGCCTAAAGATTCCCCTTCTTCCCTTCCAAGCGTAGCAGTCTATTTGGAATTGCAAATATTGCCCATCACACACCACACTGCAAGGCACCTTAATGAAAAACTACCTGGCACAGAGTGATCCCATTGGCCTCCCCAGCTTGTAATGCTCCATGGGAGTGAGTAATGTCTCAGCATCCAACCACCAATACATTAGCAGATCACACCAGAACCCTGCCAAAAGCATTCAGAGGAATCATTCCCGGAAGAGACAGGCTTCACTGTGAGAACTTGCACAACCTGCTTGTCACTGCCAGCCCCCAGAGCTTGCACAGGGCAAAGAGAAAGGACTGGTTGTAGTAGGAGGTAAAGAAAACCCACTCAGAGCAGAGTGGTTCCCACCAGACCATCATCTTTACATGGCTCTTGAAAATGCCCAAGGATTTTCTGGTACCTTGCTGCAGCACTTCCTTTGAGCAGAAACTTTTCCTAATGTCCAATATTACTTACATTTGGGCTGTTAACACATATTAATCCATCTTCAACCAAAAAGATAAAGCTGCATCTTCTCTCTAACTCTACTTCCAATGTCTGCAAGCTACTGCAGCATTATTAACCTCCTCTTTATTGTCTTGTCCCAAAGGCATCTCATATTCCAAGCCTTGGAGTGAATCTTGAAACCACATTAACTCTAGAAATGACAGTCACAAATTGACGGGACAAAACAGTGCAGCTTGGCTGCCAAGATAAAACCAGGCCCCAGTCCAGTCCTCATCCTGCCTTCCCCAGTTTTCAGGGCCTGGATCATGCTGTAAGCATCAATGTATTTGCATGGTTTGCACAAGCAGCAGCTGCATCACTGAAGCGCACTTCCACTGGTTTATCTTCTGCACTCTTCTACTACAATGAGATAAAAAAACTGCACTGCTGACATTTTTTATATAGCATGAAAAATCCAACCCCTGAGATCATATAGGAACTTGACCTGGCTGCAGCAACCTGCAATATATCCATACCTTAGACAAATGCCTTCTCCTGCTCTTACTGGGGCATTATAGTGCATTTCTCATCTTTATTCCAGCAGCTTGGAAGAATTTATGTCAGAATTTGGGAGATGAACCTGCCCATGACAGTGGGGACTGGGACTAGATGGTGTTTAAGATTCTTTCCAACCCTTAATATTCAATGATTCTGTGGAGTTTGCCTCTGGTTACTAAAAAAGGCAAAGGCATATATACATGGGATAGCTAAAGCACGCAGTGATCATAGCTGCAGCATCTTCAGAGATAGTGGATTGAAAATGTCTCCCAGAGAAAGCTAGAAATGTGCATCTCTTCTTCTCATATTGAAAAAACCCCAGCCACAATGCCACAGAAATTGTAGTAATTCCATCATGGAAAAAGCATGGACAAAATTAAGTACTTCCTATAAACACCTACATTCATCAGAGGGACAACACTGAAACCTAACGAAAACAGATCCCATTTCCCATTCCACAAGTGATCATACCAGGAGAGCAATCCTAGTAAGTGCATTTTATTCACTGTAGCTTCTTGGAATCTCTTGGAAAACCTACTATCAAGAAATGAGATAGTGAGATTTAAAACTGTAAGAGCATTAAAGGTGCTGCTACCTTTTTTTGCAGGTCCTTATCCTAGAAATCAGGGAGAGAGGAAGGAGGAAAAGATCATGTGAGGAATCAATTTATCTTCACAAGAAGGTTGGAGAGAGCATCTGATGAGCAGAACAAGGAAGAAATTCATGCACTGACATAAACATCTAGAGAGGGAAAACAAGTTTGGAGGGTACAATTGCCCACTGAGTGGCACATTTGTACACAGCATATGTGTTCAGAGAGGAATAGTTTTGGAAAAAGAATGGCTTGCAGATCTTTTGGGAATAATAGTATTGTTCACTAAAAATTCTCCTTTCTTTAGAAAAGTCTTGGCAAGAAAACATTTTATCTGATCTCTCCAAGGTCCCTCAAGAGCTTCATGACCTTGTTCAATAAATGCTTCTATTAGAGCAGACTGATACTTGAAGCCTGTTTTTATCAATATCAGACCCATTGAATTAAGCCAAGTTCCCTTCATAAGAACACAGAGAACACAAACCTCACTTCTACACAGAGTAGTATTTTTGTATTTTCCTAACAATTTTCACTTCAAGATCCTCGGGTATTGTACAAAGCAGAAATGAATTCTGCTCCACACCACCACTTTGTGGTTGCTAAGTGGTA